GGGGGGGAAGCGGGAAGAGGGCCTGCGTGTTTTGTTCGTTGACGTGGTCCCCCATGTTCTCTGTCGTTGGACGCGAGTTCTATTTTTGGATTTTTTTTGTTTTTTCCCAACGAAGTGTATTGCTTTCCTCTATGTCGTACGAGAAGTTTTTTTATTTTTTTTTAAGGCATCGACCCCTTCTATTCTGGGGGGCATCAGTCCGGTTGCTTATCACCGGCAAGTATGAGTACGAAAAAGAAGAAAGATAACTGAAGAACAGTGTTGAAGATGAGTCAGCCCAACCCTTGCGGTACGACTCACGTAGTCAAAGGGGGTAGTCAAGGGGGGGTTGCAACGATCCGACGTTCTAGCAGCCTCACAAGCCGTATGGCTCTTATTGCATTCCTCTGATCAGTCCAGAAAAACACTGCCACCATGTCCTGCTAACGATTTTTTTTTTTCTTTGTCCCCTTTGCTTTCTCTATTCGAATTGGATATTGCGAAGGTGGAGAACCGCTGTGGATGCTCCCTATTGAAATCTCACGGATTACTTTCCCTCTTGGCACTTTTGTGCACGCATCTGACAGTAATAACGACCACATTCCGTCAAAAAGCGCTAAATACTAGGCACTCCCATGGATGCATCTGACCGCAACTACGGTATTCGTTCGAAAAGTGCCAGTGTGCTAGGCACTTTCGTGAATGCATCTGACCGTAATTACGGCCATATTCAGCCCAAAAGTGCTAGTGTAGGTTGGGATGCCCTAATTGCTCCATACAACTCACGCTCATGAGAAGGACGACCTATTTCATTATTCATTGTTTGATTCTTATGTGATGGGGTGTGAACCGACAGTCTGTAGAGTTTTCCACCTGGTGTGGGTGAGTGATAGTCTGCTTCGATTTTCGTCACAGGTATCTTGAGGGCACTGGTTGGTGGTCCCCACCACCTCCGAGGGGTATCAGTTGTCGGGCAGTCGTTGACGCTTAACCACAACCGGGGTTCAGGTGGATTATCACTTACAGTGTAATCATCAGGTTAGGGGATTCTGCTGCAGACTGTTGAGGGTTCAGCCTCCTGATGACTCGGTGAAACAGTTGGTCACAGCCCCTCGTTTGTTGTCCTCTTCTCCCTCTCTGCTTACGGTTTACGGTCTCCCGCAGCCAAACTGATCACTGTTTCGTAATTGTGTGCGCATGTTTGAAGAGAGAGAGAGAGAGAGAGAGAGAGAGAGAGAGAGAGAGAG